AAATGGTGGCTTATTTTAATCTTATCCTTTCCCAAAATATTTGCAGGAACTGAAGCAGCCACCATCAGGTGTGGGTTCGGAGTCAAGAGGAGACAACTGCAGGGAGCTGGAAGTGGTTTGGTCTGAAGCATTAAGCTATCAGCCTCTCGTTCTGATTGCTTCAGGATCCACTTCCGCCACACCACCATCCAGCTCCACAGACCCACTTGAAAGAGGTGACAGTGAGGCTACCCCCTTGCCAGCAAAAAGCCAGCATGGGGATCGAGTTTTAGAGTTCCTGGAAAAAGAGGCAGAGAGGTCCGTGGGCAGGGAGAGAAGATCAAATAAAGAGGAGAGAAAAAATGTATACACCTGTTGGAGAGAATTGTTAATAAGATGTTCATTTGTAAAACAAATTAATAATAATAATAAAGGTCCTTGAACTTGTTTTCTCATTTTTACTATTGCAAGCAATACAATGGTTTAATTATTGGTTACAGGTGATCAGTTCATGAGTTTTTTTTTCTTTTTACAATACTATAAATACGTCAGTAATTCTATCATTGCAAATGTGAAATATAGTTACACATTAATGAACATGTTATGACATGTGAAGTTATTGTATGGGACTGGTTGACCTGGTAACTCATATTAGTATATACAGTTTTTTTTTTTGCAGAAATCTATTCAGCAGAGGATTCTATAGCTGAATGTAGTTATGATACCTGAGAGCTGTCACATTGATAATGTAATCTCTGCCAGGTGCAGAGCTCCTGCAATTCCTCAACAACTGGGAAATTAATTACTTGGGCTCTTTCGCTCACAATCTTATTTGCCACACGGTGAACAATGTCATGTACAGTTGCCATGATCATAATGGTCACGTAGGAATGAGCAGAGATTTGTCAGTGTCTGTCTTGTAAGTCTGTAGTCTGGTCTTCGATCACTAACTCCCATCATAGAAAATGGATAGAACTGAGATGTGATGGTTGATGTGGCAATACTTCATGGCTGGTGGTCCAACCTAAGAAATTGTAAAAAGATCTCAATAATGTCACATGCTTCATCATTTTGACCTCAAAACATGGAAGACATTTTTTTATTTTTAAATGAATATAACTAGGCTATATAACTTTAAATGTATATATCTCAAACTGATTCAAAATGATGGAGATCATGTTTTCCCCATAGAGTTTATGCATGTACAATTATGTAACATTTTTAAACAAAACTATTAAGTCTTTATTTTTACATGAAATGCTTATGAGTTACTTGTATTATTATTCTGACATCACACTTTACCGGTAAGTGCAGTGGCTCACAAGTAGAGAGCACTCTAGGACTGTTGACTTGCAAGTTGTCGGCTGTATAAGAAAATCACTCGTCTCAGTTCTTCTCTGGAAGCTTCTTCATTTCATTTGTATTTCAATATCAACTGTATAATTTCAAGAACAATGGGAGATACTATTTCGTGAAAGCATGACATAGTGAACACTGCTGTAGTTTCATGAAAAATGAGCTGAGGTATAGTTTATAGACTAACGTTCCCATCCCATGCTTTTTCCTGTGAGTAATGCCCACCTTTATCCAGAGTTGAGCTCCCAACACACCTGCCTAGAAGTTTTCAGTGATCCTAATGACTTTAATTAGCTGCTTCAGGTGTGTTTAATTAGGACTGGAGATGAAAAGATTGAACACCCCTGCTATTGTGCTTCTGTTTACAAACGTTAATTGCAGTGTTGATATTGTAGTGTTAATAGATTTGAGATAAATAGATTAAATGGGTATATTTTAATGATACTATAATCATAGTTATTTTTTTTGTGTAGGGTAATTTAAAAGTGAATTATATAGTATCATTCCTGAATGTGACTGTATGTATGAGAACTGAATTGACCTGCTCTTGGGTGACTTAATGCTTTTGTTTTCAGATTTCAGAGAACCCAAATGAAAAGAGACGGCAGTCTGATGTAAGCCAGATTTCTAAAACTTGAACCATTGGACCACTTGTAGTCTGACATCAGACTCCTGAAACTAATTTTTATTAAAGGTTGCAGTGCTTTTGTCATTTTGTCCGGTTTGTCCCACTTTATTTTTTATTTAATTTTTTTTACATTTTGACTGATCTTCTGTATCTTTTTGTCATTGATTGTGTTAAACTGTTTAACTCTAGAACCACCAGGGGTCGCTGTATACCTAAAAGCGCCAGCAGGTAAATTTTACCCACGCATATGACAACTGTATTTATATGGCTAAAGAACATATTATTTCACTGTATTATGCTACTGTCTTCACAGAGAGGTGTCTAGAGTCATTAAATATGATTATGTCTAGTCCTCAACTATATTTTTGTCTTGTTGTTTTATGTTCAAATCTTTTTTTAATGCAAGCTACACTAGTCACTTTTCATAACGGTCAATATTAAGCTAAACAAGCCTGCACTGACAACGAGAATTAGACGGAAGTAAATACATACTTAGGTGGTGTAACAGGCTGTTATAATACAATGGATATAATTTATAATTTGAATTATACAAGAACACCAATAAACTTCGGGTAATTAAAAAAAAAGTTTTTTTTCATTAGCCTACATCAGATCTGATTTTTTTAGAATAAATGGCAACACAGAAGCGAACAATAAACGATAGAAATGGCAAAACAAAAATTAAATAACTAATACAAATTTTGAACAATTATGAGTAACATTAGGATAAAATGTCTAAATATGATATTTTGATCGCCGTCAGATGCAGAGCCGACAGGACAAAGCAAAGTTTTGCATTTATAATTTTGTTCAGTGTATTTCGCCTTCTTTTACTCATTTTGTCTTTATTTATGAAACTGATAACTGCTAATTCAGTGAGTGAAAGGCGTTGCCTAGTAATGTACTATGTTAAAACATAAGCAGCACGAAAATGACAGCGCGAACATACAGGAATTATATAGCGGGGTAAATTTGACCCACGCTGGCGCTTATAAGTATAAATGCCCCATTTTTGGATCTGGTTTTATCTAAACAGTTTTTAACAACAGGGGATTGTAAATCACACAATTTTAGTAAAAGTCAGTAACTGGGAGACTTGAATGTTTTATTAAAAATATTTTATGTACGTTTTAAAAACATGGCGGTTCTAGTGTTAAATAAATAAAGCGACTCAACGGCTGGAAATGTGTGATTTTCATTTTAAAATGTTTTCCCCCAACTTTGAAATGGTCAGGAATTTATCAAAATATTAATGTTGTTTCAACATTAATTTGGTACATAAGATGGCAACATTTGTTTTATGTTGATATTTCAGTTGTATTTTCAGTGTTTCAACAAAAGTGATTAAGAATCAACATCACATTGAAATGATCAAACAACATGAACAATATTGATTCATCAACAATGATGTAGAATCAACATCATAGTGTATTGCTTAGATATTAAGTGCTTGAATGTACAACAGTGTGCAAGGCATTTTAATGCAAGATTTTGAGTAGAGTAATTCAACATGCATTTCTGCATCAAAGACGTCTGTCATTTATACAGTTTTAACAATACATTAGTCATGATATGACTTAAGGTGACCCAGATTGTGTACAGTGTCAAAAAAAAAGAATTCTCATTAAACAACGACAAAAAAAAATACTGTTAATGAAAAGTTATATAAACTCAATTATCCCTGATTTAACCAGAAATGCATGTCTATTAGGAAAAGAAGAAATAATTACAATCAATCATGCTCTAGGAAGGAAGGGAAAAAATGGTATACATAAAGATAAAAGCAGTTAAACAACAAAGTTGCAGAATATTTTCTTCAGTTAGATGACCCCTTAATTCCAGCCAGTGGGAGGCTCCATTTCTGAGTTGCCTTTGGTTTCCAGAGCGACTCTCAATTTCTGCCAGAAGACTCTGGTATCCTCTCCTGGTTTAGGCCAGCTGAGATATGTCTTCTTCTGAATTAGTTTCTTCATTCTGTAGTACGGAGACAGTTGATGACTTGGAATATTCTCCAGGAATACCAGGATGAGAACATCTTTTTTCTCATCAAAGAGACGGAAACTAGCAACTTGGATCTCTCTGGAACACCACTCACTTTCCAGGTAGTGACGGCTAATCACACAGATGGTTTTTCTAAGCCTAGAAATTTCAAAGGTGAAATCAGACAGACGTCCCTTATTAAAGCTCTCACTTTTATATCCCCCAGAGAGTGTAGCCTCAGGCTGGCCAAAGAAGAGTTGAAGGTTTGTAGGAGATCTGTGATCTTCTCCAGGGGCAATTGTATTCCGCTTAAATTTAGATGTTGCACACTTTGTAGATACCTTTTGTCCTGCACATCCCATGTCATGTTTTCAGTAATAAAAGCCAAGACCAAATTATCAAGGTGAGGGAAAATATCAGCAGTGATACTGAACACTTTCAAAGGATTTCGAAATAAATCCAGGACTTGTAGTCTCAAAGATATGTTGGACAGCTCTGAGGTGTGAAAAGAGGTGAAGCCATTACTCCCAATGTGCACTTCCTGTAACTGTGGTAATAAAAAGAGCTGCTGAACTTTGCTAATTTTCTTCAGATGATTTCTGGACAGATTTACTTTTCTTAAACTGATCAGGGGTGAAAATGCAGAGAAGTTGATATTTGTGATCAAGTTTTCATTTAGATGTAAGACAATGAGATTTCCCAGATTCTGAAACATTCCTCCCAAGATATCTGTCAGTTTGTTGTAGGCCAGATTTAACTCCTGCAAAGCCACCAAACTGCTGAATGCTCCTTCCTCCACTTCCTGGATCTTATTGTGTAGTGCATTAAGACTTTTAAGATTAGACAGTTGAGAGAAATACTCTTTGATTATCTTCTGTATGACATTGTAAGAAATCCAAATGTCCAAATATGTGGCTTTGTCCGGTATATTCCCTGGTACGAAATGCAGGGACCTCTTATCACAAAACACATTTATGTTTTGTGCATATTTCAAAGACCCTCTGACAGTGCAGTTCTTTACTGAGTATCCATTTACAAGATTTATGAAAATACAGCAGTAAAGCAGCCATGAGGTCAAACTACAGTATTTATTAAAGCACAAACCATGTTCTCTCTTAGACATCTTGAGATTTACCCTGATATGACCACTTAAATGGAGTATATCATCCAGTTGACTTTTCTTAGCTTCGGTTTTCCTAAGAAAGAGAACACCAGTGTAAGTGTAGTGATAATGGTTTATTAACTGATGCATCATTATTACCTTTGCATTAGGTCACTGGGCACAGAACAGAATTAAGTGCTGCTAAAATCCCTGTGCATTGAGTAAACACTATAAAAATTACTGTAGGCACATTGCACTGTACAAAACATTTTAATATATAATTAGGTGACTCTACTTACAAAATGTTAGGAAATCTGTTGCCTAAAAGTAAATACTTTTCACCCCAAATAAATTTTTTTTTAATAAAAGTTGGGCATATATGAAATATCTGGGTTACACATAGACTTTTAATACAAGTTAACTGAACAAGAGAAAACATGTATGTCACTTATGTTTAAGTTTTAACTAGTACAGTATATTTATATTTTTTGGTGTGGAGGGAAGCTTATTTACTTAATTTTCCAATGGCAACTGGTTGTCTAGTAAATTAATATTAACACCTTTTTGTGCATACTTCAATAAAGCTGCAGTCCGTAACTTTTTTTGGTTAAAAATGATCCAAAATCAATATTTGAGCAAGTACATAACCAGCCAGTGTTCAAAACTATCGCCTTTAGCCTGATTCACAATGGTCAGTTTATAATAATGTTTTCTAATTTGAGTGGTACGGGTAGGTTTTAGTGGGAAATTCGAGCATGGCACTACGTCACGTCTGTAAACATAAAGAAGTTGTCCCGGGTACTAGGCTATCGCATGTGAGGATGCTGCAGGTGGCAGATCGTTTATAGCCTTTTCTCACAGCAGCTAGCTTTAAATAAGAGCCTTGATTGAACACTCTAAAATACAGCACTGTTATTTTCAGAGAAGCTCAAATCACCAAATTAATATATATATATATATTTGAAATGTGTGAAGGAACAATAGTACAAAGAGAAAGGACCTCAATCAAAATAGGTGATGTCAATGAAGCAGAATGAATTAATTCAAATCAACTTGTATAAATGATTGCCTAATCTTTTACAATGATTTCACGAGTCTTGTTTAATTGTTTGATCACTTAACTTTAAACAATTCCCAGTAAATGCAGATCAAATAATCTCAAAGCAGTGTCATCTGTAGTGTTGATTCAACAACTTACTTTTCATTTTAAGGTTCGTACATTTTCAGGAACTGAACCCCTTTTGCTTTGTGTCGTTTCACTTCTTATTACCATAAATTATATTGTGAAAGAAATTCACAAGAGGTCCAGAAGGAAGAAGGATGTGAAATTAAGAAAGTTGAATGTTGTAATCAGAGTCAACAGAAGTGTTCTTAAAAATCTTTGAGAAGACAGAAACTTCCAGAAAATATACTAGGAAGGGTCATAAAGTTGCGAGACTATCAGATTTGGTACAAGCAAAAGAGTACATAAGGATGCATATAGAAAAAGTTGATCTTAAACAGACATGCCACATATGTATCAGATATGATACAGTAGGCTAATATATTCATAAACAGACAGTATAATTATTGTTCAACACAACAGAATAAAATGTTTAAAAAATGTAGCTAAAATGTTGTAACATGCATTGCCAAATAAGTATTGTGTTTTCAATCAATTTATACCCCCAAATGGGCGACTTAACCTTGGGGATACAAATATTAAAATAAAAAATAAAAGTCATGTTTAAAAAAAAAAAAAAAATCATAAATTCGTATTATTTGTGTCCTAATAAGGTGGAAAAGAGCAATAAATTAACTTTATTTCTCATTATGGTCTTGGTCTATGGTTAATCATTCAAATCTGAAAAAAAAAAAAAATTTAATTAAATTTAAAAGAAAGAAAGAAAAGCCATTGAAACCAAAGTTTTCTTTGCATTTGCTTCTGACATAAATGGTTTTATCATCCTCATCTTCCCCAGGAAAAAGTAAATTCTTTGGCCTGAAGAATAACTTTGTTATATCTTTGAATATATTACATTAAATATATATTATCACAAATTACACATAGACAACTAAAACCCTCGTCATTTGGCTTATGGTAGTTTTAACTTTTTAAATTACACTGTAAACACTTATTTGAAAACAATTTGAGAAAACACTATTTTTATGAAATGTAAATGCCCAAAACGTTTACACCATATAAAAAGGGTGCACCTAAATATTAACTAGAGATTCCATGCTCCATAGAACTGTATGAACACTGCCAAAAATCTCTTAACCCTTGTGTGGTGTTCATATTTTTGTTGTTCAGCCAGTGTTCATGGGTCTGGTGTCCCACTGCATTTTTTTGGTTTTTAATTCAACACAATCAAACAATTTTTTGTTCAAATACTCATAACAGATGTTTACTTTATCCTAATTACAATCAATATAAACAGCATATATGGTTAAAATTTGCCCTTTACCTTTGGTAGATCACATTTATGAATTAAAGTGCTACTCGTTTTTTGTTTGTTTTTTAATCAAATGTAATAATAAAAAAAGAAACTCAGTTATAATCAAGAGTTTTTCATAACTATTGATTTTTATTTATTTGAACTTCTTTAGAAATGTAACCCATTCAGGTCAGTTTACACAACACAAGCTGAACACATACAGTAACCATGTCAGTCTAGATGACACATCAGCCCCATTGAACACATTGCCTTTTCATACCAGCCTATACAACACATGAAGGGCAGAGATTTACTGTGTGTGTGTGTGTGTGTGTGTTGCATATGTACTTCTTGCACGTATATTGTGTTTTTCTGTCCATCTTGGGTCCACACACTTCGCAGCGCTTCTTTGTGTTGCTGCTGGCCTCAACCTAGAATGATGGAACGATCAGGAATCCACCCTCTCCAAAAACATGTGTGATGATGAACACGTTGGTTACCATCACGTGAACATCAGTTCACAGTGTTATTGTGTATATTGATTTACTGTTTGTTATGATTATGATTTGATGTATATGGAGACAATGTCATGTCTAGTGTTCAAATTGTATTTTGTAGTTGAGTACAAGAATGCAACAGAGACTTTGAAGTTTTCATATTTCTTTTATTGTGCATATGTTTATTGTTTAAAGGGGTCCTATTATGCTTTTTCACTTTTTTAAATGTTAGTCAGTCTGTAGTGTGTATGTTTGGGCATAAAAAAGATCTAGAAAGTTACAAATCTCAAAGTCCACTCCAAAGGGAGATATTTCGTTTTTTTTAAATTCCTTTTCAAGAACTACGGCTAACGGCTCGTTTGGACTACGCTGTTTTTTCCACCTCCGTGACCAAACGTCTTTGTTTGGGCTTCCAAAAGCGGATGATGTCAGGAAACAGTGGTTGCAATTTTTTTTTAACTGTCACTGAGCATTATAACCCCAATTTGCTATTGTGTGCTGCGCATTTTACTGAGGACAGCTTCCACAACATGAGGGAGTACAGTGCCTGCTGGATTCGCCAAAAAGCTTTTGTTGAAAGACGGAGCAAGGGGCGTGGCAGTACTGAAACACCGTCTAAGCTGTTCGTCAATCACAACGCACTGGGACAGCTAACCAATCACAAAATATTTTCTTTTTCGGAAGGCGGACCTTCATCAAAGCCGGAACTAATCAAGTCGTTTGTGCCAGGATGGGGAGAAAGGTATTTTAATAATGTAAATTATGTGAAAAATAATGCGTTTTTCGAACCACCAAGCATGAGCATGTTCTAGTACACCCCCAAAACAAAATCAAGACGGTAAAAGAGCATAATAGGACCCCTTTAATACATTTCATAGTATAACTTACCTATCTGGGGGGTATTCCAAAAAGCAGGTTATGTGACATACCCGGGTATGTTTGAGGATAAGCGAGCGGATAACCTCAGCTTTCGGTTCTAAAATCGGAGGTTACTTTCAGGATATGCAAGTAACCATAGTAACTTGCTCTCTGAAGATGTTCCAGGGTTAGTTCACTTCAGTGCACGTGTGATCTACTGACGAGCCTTCAGTGGGCGTGACAGATAGCGCACAACATTATATAATATTACAATATGTAATATAGCCTATTATATATATATATATACAAAAAAAACTATATATATATATATATGTTAATGATGAAGCGCTAATATAAGTAATAAATAA